CGGTGCTCCCGTTGGTGAACCAAATGGATTTGGACCACCGGGTCCATTAAATGGTGGTCCAGAATTATTGGGCGGCGGTGGAAAACCACCTGAATTTGGCGGTGGTCCTGGCCCCGGTGTCGATGATCCACTTGGTGCTGGCGATACAGTATATTGTGGTGTTGCCGATCCTGGCGGAGGACCTTGATAAGGAGGCGCACCTGCAGGACTTCCAGCTCCGCCGGCAAAAGGACTCGGTCCTTGAAAACCTCCTGCATTATTTTGTGGTCCTCCTGAATTATTATATGGGCCTGGCGTTGGTCCTCCGCCAGCGTTGGGAGTATAGGGTGATGCCTCCGAGCCAGGCGGTGGGCCCTTCCAAGAGGCAGGGGTTCCTGGGTCCTCCAGCGTGGTGGTAGCGGCCAGAGGCGGGTTCAGGCGGTTACAACCTGCAAAGGAAAAAAAAAATTTATTAATTCATTTCACCTCATTAAATAAATACCAATGTAAGCACTTTCTGTTACTTAAATTAAGGTCACACATCAATGAATGAAATATTTTTTCTGCTTATAAAATTTCAATTTTTTCCAGGTAAACAAAATTCAAACAAATACTTTAATAATTAATAAAAATAATAATAACATTTTTCACCAACGTTTAGAAATCTTAATGATTTTTTCAAAAAGTCGAATTAAAAATAATAATTAAATACAACGATATAAAAATTCAAATACCAAAGAATTATAAATATATTTAAACAAATCGGAAACTAGAAAATTTTTTTTTTCACAAGGAATTTGTTATTTTCTAATATTATATTTATTAATTTAAATTTTCTTAAGTCTTAAAAAGCTTATTTTATCGTATCAGCAGAAAAAAAAATACTAAACGAATCTAAACTGTTTGGTATCAAATTACAACTGACATAAGCAAAGGTTATGTCACCCCCAATGAACACATACAAAGTACAACTCAACCAGATGGTAAAATTTTGATAAATTCACGACAAATTAAACGAATTTAGAAGATTTTTTTTTTTAACAATATATAAATCAATTCACTAATCACCATTGTTTGTCCCATTCGCCTTCATCTCGTCTTCCACGAAATCATTCCAATTCTCGGGTCACCATCCGTTTTTTTCTTTTTTTTTTTAAAAAAAAAAATCACATACGGACAAACAATTTTCAATTTACTTTTCCAATACACATGAAATTTTCAAAATTTAACAATAAATTTTTTCTGTTTTGCCACACGAATTGAGGTTATGTACCGGCGACATAACCTATAATTAATCACGCGATTCACAGGGTTTTCGGAGTTATTTCACTGTAATTTATTATTCACATTAGTTTGAGATAATTTCCCACGTATCTTCACAATCCTTTGAATGTTATTCGCTATGCGAAAACGTCAATTTTTTTTTTCAACACATACAACAACGACGACGAGAGACTGCTTCCCCCCCGCGAAAGACGCGTTACCGGCTAATCTCACACGAATTTCACCGTTTTCTAGCAAATTCTCATCTCTATAAAAGGAAAATTCAAACGCGCATTCACATCCAAATACAAGCACCACACTAACATTGCATCAATTTAATGCATTTCGACGTCACATTGAAAAAAATTTCACCAATTTCACGACATCCCAAACACACGAGTGAATGGAGTGAGAGAGACGAAGGCAAGCGCGAATAAACACCACTGAAGTCGACACAACGTCCAGTCATCAGGACCGTAACAAGGCTCAATTTTTCCATAACCACCAAAAGAAAAAAAAAAAAAAAAAACTTTCTACATAAATACGAAAAACTTCAATTTCACCGGAATTTTGTAATTAATTTTCATCAACAATTTTATGTTTCTAATCGAAACAATGGAATGAGAATAATAATTAAATTAGAAGAAAAAAAGGTGCAACCATTTACCTTTTGTCTTGAATAATCCAGTGGGACACACTTTTTCTTTTGAAAATAAATTTCTCTTCTTTGATTGTGTGGGAGGGGCAAATTTTTTTTTTTTTTAAATAAATATTTGTCTCTTTAATTATAAGTCTTGATCACTAATAATCGGCAGCGAAAGGTCGCTCATTGTGACACATACACACACACACATATACACACGCGGGACTAATATATAAAACTCTTTAGTCGTTTTTGCGATGCGATTCAACTCTTTTTATTTTCTGTCCCTTTTTTTCACACACAATTTTCACTCACACGCACTCGTCACGCGACTCGGGAATAACACACGTACACACGTGCGCCAGGAGCGTAAAATGGGCGCCAACGACCCCACAACCCGTTAACATTGTCGAGAATCTCAAATTTCCAGACAACATCACACACCACGTGTTCGGAGACCATCCACGCCCGACTACTGTCAACTGGATCTCTTTCTCGGTCGCCGGCAACAATTGTTATTCCATGGCGTGTAGCCACCGACGAGCGCTGCCATTTTTAGCGGATTCGCCGTTGCATGCCTCCACCGCCCTGACCTCCTCTCACCATCATCCCCCCTTTTTGGTAAACTATGTAAAACACACCCTGTCCACCGGAAAAAAAGACACCTTACGGAAAAGATCCTTCAATTTTTTTTTTTTTTCTTCTTTTTCTCTAGAATTAGCAAACTTCTCTTTGACGCAGTTTTTCGACAAATATATATTCTTCAAGAGAATATTACCGAGAAGATTCTTTTACCGCGAAATATACAAGTGTCATCGATTTTTTTTTTTTTTTGAAAATTATTTTCTGAAAATAATTTAAATTTAAAAAATGTCTATTAAAAAAAAAATTTTTACAACTAATTTAATTATTTAAATTAAATTACAATTTTTATAAAAGTTTTAAACATTTTTTTTAACGTAAGGAAAATTAAATTCATTTATTATATAAATTAAATAAATAAAAATTGTAGATACCAAAAAATTTTAATGTATAAACAATTCTGAATTCATATTTTTAGTGTAATTTCAATTGTTCAATTATTGCTTTTATCAAACTAAAATTTTTTAATTTTTTTTATGACTTTTTATTTTTAAAAAATGTTTTACTTTTTATTTACATTATTATTTCGCGATGTAGGTCAAAATTTTCTATTTAATAAATTGAAATTAAAAAAATTAATTAAAAATAAAATTATATGTAAAGACTCAAGGGGTTAATAATTTTACAATTTTCTCATGAATAAATGTACCCAATTTTTCTCGCAACTTGACGCAATATTCTCGGTAATATTCTCACCGCGTTTTTGAGGGAAAATTATATTAACACTATGGAAAGTACTTTATCGTCTTTGCACTATATTTTTTTTTTACACTCGCAGGTCTTTTTTTTTTATCACAAGAAGAAAATTAACATTTCTACCACGTTAAACTAAAAAAAGAATTTTAAGAAAAATAATTGTTACATAAAAATTAATTACATTAAAAAACAAAGAAAAAGTAAAATTTAGAAAAAAATTTCACTGGGAAATGAAAAATTGATCCGATTTTTTTTTTTTAAAGAAACCGATCGACAAGGAACGAAAAGGGTTGAAGGTCTTGGAAAAAAAAGGGTTGTTGCGTGGCCGAGAGTCGATGGATTAATCAAAAGGAAACTTTGGCAACGTCGTGTCGCCTGTTGCATGCCGGTGCTTTACGCGACGTCAATTTTCGACGAGGTCGATGCGCTCGAAGCAAGAAATTATTCAACTCTCGAGGAATATCAGTGCGGAGAAGGCCAAGAAAAGTTGGACGAGAAACACGTTCCAGCCGTTCTACCACCGTACACTTTGTGTGCTACGTGCAAACCGCTACCGCTTCGCTCCCTTGCGCCAGTCTGCGATTTTTACGAGAAGACTAGTTTTACTATACTCACTGATCCTCCGGCTCCAAAAAAAAAAAAAAAAAACATTTTTTCCGAGATTTCAATTCCAAAAAACTCTCTAAACAATCATAAATTGCCATTAGAATATCTCAAAAGCTAAATATTTCTCTCGAAAATATTCTTCAATTTGAAATTTGAAAAAAAATCAACACCAATAAATCTAATTATAAGAAATGGAAAAAAATATTTCACTTCAAATTGAAATAGAATAATACTAACTAGAGTAACTTAATTATATATCGTTAGAATTTTCAATATCAAGGGGATTATAAAAAAAAGGATCAAAAATCGATTTCAGTTTGTGAATTGTTAAATAGTCATATATATGATAACCTGGGTAACAAATGTGTGTAACCTTTTAAAAGTACGGTCCTGAACAGGAACTTCACCCCCAACCACAGAGCAGTGTGCACCTCGCACTTTGTTTTCCGTCACTGTAGCACATACTGTGGACTTTTCAGTGAAAAGGATTTTTCAAAAAAAAAAAAAGAGAGAGAGAGAAAAAACAGTGATTTCTTCACACGAGGTGAATCTAATCACATGATTCTCATTCTTTTTTTCGTTAAATATCAAACAAAACTTCAATTTCTAAATTAATTATATAAACGAAATAGAATGAGAGTATATTGGAGAAAGAGGTTTGGTTAATTTTTTTTCGCGGAACGCCTCACGTGCAGGGCACTTTTTTTCTCGCGCCGTTTCAAAGTCGGGGACTCAGCACTCCAGTGTCACCCTAAAAATCAATAAGGTTCACCTCCTACCCCCAGGATCGTACTCCAGGGGGTCGGGGGTCACGACGGCTGGCCGGGACATCATTCTATATGTCCCGCGAGGAGACTCTCGTAACCTCGAACACATATATATATATATGCGAGACTACACTTTTTTTCATTCCACGATATCATTCATGTTCAGCGAAATCAATCTTTAAACTCGCGGATTTTTCGCGTAAAAAAAAAGCAGAACTTGGTGAAAATTTCAATATTAATTATTTTTAGTTTTTACTCTAATAAATATTAAAATCATTTTTTAAAAATATTCATTCGATTTAAATCTTAATTTTTTTTTTGTATTAATTAAAATTTTTTTTTTTAAATTATTTTCCTAATTTGAAAAATTATTTTTCAATATATTAAAATTTATTTCCATGACTCACCATTAAAAGTTTTTTTCGGATCCAAAATTCCATTCTGAAGATACTGTCAGCATCTTTTGTCTTAACATCTCGGGTCCAAATTACTTTTTCCAATCTTTGACAATTTCGATTTCCATTCTCTGGTGGCTTGAGAAATTTTTCCTGAAACTTATTTATTTATTCATTTTTTATTATTATCTATTTCTTATTCATTTTTGTTATCTATTATTTATGATTAATTAATATAAAAGTGATGGAAAAAAAAATCTTACGATTGAGTTTCTTCTGGAGCCTAAATTCCATTCTGTAGCCAGTGTCAACATTGCCTTTTGACTTCTCTGACAAAAAAAATATTGTCGATTTTTACCATCCGATTTATTTTTTGCTGAAACGCGTACAAGTTAATTAGTTATTTGAATTTCAAAAACAGAATAAAATACATAAAATGAAACAATTTTCGAATATTATAAATTATAAATAAAAAAATTCACAATAGAGAAAAAAAAATAACCTCAAAATAAATTGTAATTTTTCAAAAATTGTTTTTCTTATTAAAGATTCTTATATGATTCGAACCGAATACAATTTTTATTCGAACAATCTTATTAATTAATACAATTTTTAAATTTAAACAACAAAATCATATTTCTGATCGATTTGGAAAGAAATCAAAGGCGCTGCAAACCAAACGCCGTCGTGAAATAAATCACAGATTGAAATGATTTTATACTTACGAATCAATACGAGGATTCAATCTTGACATTGAAAATTAAAACATTTTCGAAAAAAATGTCAATAATCATTTCAACAACAAAAAAATAACCTTGGAAATTGTTATTTACACAAAGGGCACAAAGAAAATTGTGTGTAAATTGTACGACAAAGTATACATAACCTCAAAAATCGAAACATGTGAATTTTGCTATAACTACTTAATTTTATCAAATTTTTCACAATTTATGTGAAATAATAACGAATTTAATATCGAAAAATAGTTTTAGTTGGTAAAATTCAGGAAAAACAGGGAAAAATAATAGACAAAAGTATACTGCCGCCAACACGTGAAACTTCCGATTGGGAAAAAATTTACATTTATCGTCAATTAAATATCATCTATTACATCAAATATCAAACGAAATTAACTTCAAACTAACTTTTAATAGTAAATAATATGAAATACAATTGGAAAATTGAATTAAAATGTAAAAAAATAACCTTGACAAAAGAAGGAGGGGGGGAGGGGCAACGGAAAATTTCTGTTGATCAACATTTTGGGAAATATATTGATAATTTAATCAAAATAAACAAAAAATATTAATTAAATACCAAGAAAACAATACTTACCAACCAGTTTAAAATGTTCCAGGTGATAAATTGAATGCAGATTTCTCGATTTTTATGAGCGAACCGTTGACGTGCGTGTAAACTGCCTGCAATTGTGATCGACGAAAAAGCAAGATGGCTGCCTCATGAAAGTAGGGGAAGTCAAATTTGGCGGCAAACATTTTATTTTATATTTATTTGATAAAAGTTAATATTCAAATAATCAGAAAACAATAATTATTATATTAGTATTAGTTAAAATTATCGAAATTACAGAATATTTGATAATTTATTATGGGATTTACTGTAAAAAACAAATGTAAATTGTTGAACGTAAAGAATTGTGGTTAAAAATTATCACGTGACTTTTCAAAGTTTCCTATTGGTTCCTAGTATCTTTCTAATATCCAATTATATTCAAAGTACTAATTTTTCAAATTTCAAATATAAGAACAAATTCTGTTTTAATTATTATTAATTTTAAATAATAAATTGAAATTAATTTATAATTCTTTTTGCAAATATAAATAAATATTAATAATTTATTATGAAATAATTTAGAATATTGGGGAAATATTTATTTTAATGATAAACACATTTTTTTTTTTAATATCAAAAAAAAAAAAAAACAATTATGCATTCTTTGAAATATTTTATTGAATGCACTGCCAATTTGTAGGTCCTCTGTTCTGATAATATCTGTCTGTCTCGATAACCCTCAATCCGGGGTCAACGAGCCACTCTTTTCATATATAGATGTATATATAGATATATAATTATATAAAGATAATAAAAAATTGCAAGATGCATATATATGCATCAGTTACTTGCTACTAATTTTTCGTTTTCAATTCTTATCATCTAATTAATGTGTTTGCTCGCATTGAGGCAATAAATAACATGATTTACTCATTATTAGTAAATATATAATTTTTTTTTTTTTTTTTTAATTAATTAACGTAAATTATTATTTAATAAAAAAAAATTTTATTTTTATTTATTATTAGTAACATTAATATTAAAAATAAAGTGCACGATTTAATTTAATTTATTCATTATTGTTTTTAATTAATTAACTGTATAATTGATTAAATGTTAATTAGCTATAAATAATTAATTTCAATATTAGTTTTCTAATTAATAATTGAAAATGAATTATAAAAAATAAAATTAAAATTATTAATTAATTTGTAAGTAACAATTTGATATTAAATTAATTAATTTTTTATAAAATAATTTTGGTAAAATTTGAATTTTTTTTTTTTGGTTTGAAAATGTCACAATTTGAATTGATCTTTGATATTCTGGAAAGGGAGGCCTGAGAATACAAGTTGTTGGGAAGTAATATATATATATATATATGTTTAGAGAGAGGGAATAAATGGAAAGAGGCAAGTTTTGATGCGAGGGTTGGGGGTGTAGGTCGATGTGGGTGAAGTTCTCGTGAGAACTCAACACTGAACGGAAGAGACCCAAAGGTGTATATACCACGTGATTACTTCTCCAACTCATTTGAAAATTTTCTCTCTGCAAACAACTAAATTTCCTTTTTTTCCAAAAATTTTCATCAAAAATTAAAAAAAAAAAAAATAATTGTTTTTTTTTATAAAGAAAATTTAATTTAATTAATAATTGTAATTAACAATTATTTAATTTAAAAAATAATAAAATTTAAATAAGACAAATTAAGAAGAAAATTGCCAAAAAATTGATTAAAAAATTAGAAAACTATTAAATTTTTAATAATTAGAAAAATACGAAAGAAAAAAATTATTTATTTATTTATTTTTTTTTTTTTTTGATTGACAAAATGTCATCGAGAGACTCATCTTATAAGCAGATCCTTTTGAAATGTCTTGCCAGTTCAAGTCAGCTAAAAAAAGTGAAACGAATGAAAAAAATGAAGGAACAAGAACGATTTTGCAAGGCAAAACGCGCCCGCTGAACTGGTTAAACAGGTTTATCGTTTATAGCCGCCGTTAAAGCGATTTTAAATTTCGCGGCACATGGCCGTACATTCCACTCCTCCTATTTTCTTTATTTTTTTTCTTTTTTGCCAACCCTTTCAACCAATGGGAAGCTTTTCTTAATTTAAATTTAAAAAAAAAAAAAAATCTACATTGAAATTTATTCCACAATTATTATTCCTATACATTTATACAAGAAAATAAATAAATAGACATACTTATAATTTTTAAAATAAAAATTTCAAATCTTAAAATATATTTTATTTTGAAAAAATTTGTTCTAAGAAATTTATAATTTTTTTTTAATAAAATATTTAATATAAAAAAAAATAATTGTGTGAGAATGAAAATAAATGACAAAAAAAAAAAAAAATTCATATATAATAATTCTCTCTCGACACAAATAGCAAATATGGAAGTAATATAATAGTGCGTAATTGAAGCCTACAGCGTACGATTGCCTTGAGCAAATTACGATTGTAATTGTATAACTCTTCTGTATATATGAAAGTCGTTCAGATGTGATTATTTCACGATGTATGTAATTTACGTTCGAGATATAAATTTTTTTTTTTTCCTTTAAATTTTTTATTTTAAAACGATAACGAATAAAACTGAAAATAATTAAAGCGATCTTTTATTTTTTTTTTTTTGATGTTTTCTCGAAAAAATCCTTCAAGATTGTTTTTAGACACGTTCACCATTAAACTTTTCTTTTTCTTCTTCTTTTAATTCTCGGGGTGTCGCAATGAAAAATGCAAGAATAATAATCGGCATCAATTATTATTTTGAAAGTAGAAAAGAAAAACGATATTTCACGAATAAATTTTTTTTTGTATAGAAAAGAGAAAAAAGAGGAAGATAACTCGCAAAACGAGAAAAAAGAAGATAAACTATTGAAACGAATAAAGAATCATTTTCATTATTTCTTCGTCTTTGTACTCACAAGCATCCTCCTCTATAATATTTTATATATATATATATATCGCACAAGAAAAATCACTCGATCTCATTTACTCTTACATTCCTTTTTTCTATTATTATTATTTTGAACTCTCACTCCTAAAATATATTCGACATTAAAAAAAAAAAAAAACATTAACAGAACAAAAAAAAAACTTATTACACAAAATATTCCACATTTGGATTTGCACTTTTATCAGATATAATAATCAAACTTATTTTTTAGAACCCTTTTTTTTATGAATTATAATATCGAGTAAAATACAAAAAAAAATAATATATATATAAAAATAATCCCCAAAGGAAAAAAAGAGAAACGTACTAAATTTCGGATAACTAAATTTTTTTTTATGGCACGTAACTATTTTTTTCTTCTTGTTTTTGATAAACCCTTTTCTTTTTGACGCAGAAAGAAAACGAAAACTCTTTTATTCATTTTTTTTCAACCAGCATTTTTTATTATTTAGCTGCTGCTCGATTTGTTTGCGCAAAAAAAAAAAAAAAAAAAAGTTGTTTTTTTTTATCTTATATGACAGAAGTTACATACTCGCATTTTTCACACGTGCATGTAACATTTTTGCGTCCATTTGAATTTCGCATTTTTGAAAGAGTCGTACATTCTTTCAAATGTGAAAAAAATTTCTGAACGTTCCTTCGAGCCGTTACATGCTCTCCATTGGCATCTCATTGAAAAAAAAGAAAACATTAACTAGAAAATATTTAACATTCCATTTACATATTTTTAAAAAGAATTATTTCATTCCATATCGAAAACATACATACATACTGTTGATTTTTTTGAAATTTGATTTTTACATACATTTTTTTTTTGAAAATTCGGTAAACACATTTGTTTTTAATTAAATTTTTAAAATTTGTAAGATTTTTGAAAAATTAATTTCTTTTCTCTAATTTTACAATTATCTTCTTATTTGAATTTTGTGTATTTTTTTTTTATTAATCATTAGAAGTTACGTTTATTATGAAAATGTCTACATTTATTATTATATTTACATTTTTATTTTCTAATATTGTAACTTAACTAATTATCTAAATTTTTTTTTTACCAATTCTTGAGAATTTTCTTCTCACTTTTTTTTTTTAATTTCTAAAATATTTTTTAATATTTTATATCTATTTTAAATTTTTCATTATTTCAATATTTCAATATTTCAATTTTACAAAAATCTTACAAAATTTTTACAAAAAAAACAAAATTAGACATAAGACATATTCTCACAGTATTTATCAAAAAACATATAAAAATTTGGAATTTTTTTTTTCGATGAAATTTCTAAAACAAAGATGCCAATGGAGTTTTTTGTTTTAATAAACATATCTTTTAATTGAAATAAATTGCGCTTTTTCACATTCCAGTCTCGCAAGAACTTTTTTTTTAAATTTAACTTCCTCAACAGAATTTAGATGCATACTTGAAAGACTTTTGTATTAATAAATTTCAATTTTCTATATTGTGGTCCAATTATGACCGTACTCGCTCGCAAAAAATCTTAGATAATGAATAATTTTTTTTTTTTTTTTTTTTTGAATTGCCCCGTATTTTACTTTTGATCAAAGAACATCCTAAAAACGATAACATGTTCTAGTAACATGTCTATACAATTTAACATGGATACACGAGCGTTTTGTCGAAATTTCGAACAATTTTTATTTTTTTATTTTTTTTTTTTGTTAAATTATTTTTAAATATAAAGACTATCTTTTATTCGTCGTGTGCGATAAAAAAATAGAAACAATTAGAAATTTTCTTTGAGCTAAGCATATATTGTACAAATCATTTCTTTGAAATTGAGAAAATTTTCCTTTTTGAATTATTAGAAAGAATTTTTTTCATTACTATATTGATAAAATTAATTTTTTTTTTGTTAATTATTTGAAACAAAAATAATGGTTTTTAAAAAAATGAAAATATAATTTTAAGTAAAAAAAGATTATTTTCATTTTAATAAAAAACTACAAATAAAAATTGTCATTTCCAAAATTTCAAAGAATTGACAGTATATAGAAAAGAAAAGGAATATTTTCGTATCATATTATTAAAAGAAAACATATATATAAAAAGAAAGAAAAAATTGTAAATTGAAAAAAAAAAAACATTAAAATAATTAAAACGAAAAATAATGACTCTTTTTTTAAATGAAAAAGTAGACTCATTTTTCGCAGGAAGCAACTCGAAATCGGTTTCACAGAAATGATAAGCGTTTTTTCTTTTCTTTTTTTTGTTGCTCAACGAAGGCTTTTTTTCGTAGGTCTCAGCTAAAAAAAAAATCGCGAGATCACACTTTAAGAACGCGATGAAAGGAAACGTTTTGCTTTCTTTTTTTTTTTCTTTAGTACGGCCCGTTTCTAAAATCCAACTAGAAAACTCGTGTACGACAAATCGCTTACTAAAAGTAATTATTTAAAGATAATGTTTTGCAGTTAACTAGCACGTGATTATGTATTTACAATATTTACAATTTCGCGTCTATTACATCTTATGCGTGCATTTAATGAACTGACTAATGATCGGTATTTACGTGTAATTTTCTTTTTTTCATTTTCTTTGTTTTTTTTTTCTTCATTTTCTTCGTTTTTGTTTGCTTATGTATAATTATTAATTTTGGGTTTACGCGAGTCTCGCCATTAAAAAAAAAAAAATAGAAAAAAAAAAAATTTACTGTTATACAGCAAAACAAAAACTCATTCTACATCCGGCTATTTATTTCGTCGGTCATCCTCTCGCATATACAGATTCATTAATATATTTATGTATATATCACATTGTGTTGGAAAAAATCTGGCGGTCTAAAATTATACTTCGCTTTGAGATCCTGGAGTACTAGGGTCACTTTTTTTTTTTTACAAGAAATAAATAATTTAAGTTTTTTTTTTCAATCGCATATCAAGAAATTATCACCCGTTTTTTTTTCCTTTTAGTGGAAGATAAATCTTAAAATGTGATAAGTTTGTTTAAAAATTTGTTTTAATTTTTGCTTGAAAATATTAAAAATTTTCTCAACTCAAAAATTTTTAGCTAAACAACAAAGTTGAATGATCACAAATTAAGTTCTATATTCCTCTTAAATATTTCAATGAACATTGAAAATTTTAAGGGTGACCATAGTAATCTAGGTATTTTTTTTTTTTTTTTTTAAGTTTTTTCTTTCTCAAAATACGCCACAAATGCATCACCTTAATGTTTACATTCTTAATTTGTAAGTTTTCTAAAATCATTTAACTATTCCTTCTCAAATTTCAACGATCATTTGTCTAAATAATCTTATATCTGATATCTGATGCATTTGTGGCTTCTTATCACAGGATTGCAGTGGAAAATCTCGCCCCATTGCTTTTCGAATTAGTCCTCTTACAAGAGATTCTCTCGACAAAAAAAAAAATTAATGACAAATCATGGAAGAAAATTGTAAAAAATCAATATAATGAAAAATTTAATTAATTAATAATAAAAATCAGTCTCGTCACGATCAAAAACTTGTTTTTTTTTCCCTCACGGACGGATGAATTTGCATTTAAAAAACTTTTAAAAAACTTGGTCCTCAATTTTCTTCCAAGATTTAGCGAACAATTAATAAAATAAAAAACAAAAAAATAACTCGAGAATCTCTTGTAATCAGCAGATGAGTAGACTTTCTTTAATAAACAAACGAAAAACAAAAAACGGAACATGAAGTCATTCATGAAAAATGAAATCATTCATTTATGAACAATATGAAATCATTTGAACATGAAATCATTTAACAGTGTTCACATTCGTTTCAACTAAAACGGGACGCATGAAAATTTCACCCGAAATTTCGTGCCAGTGACCAAAAAATTAAATATTATTCTTATTCTTATTTAGAAAAAAAAAAAATCAATTAAGAAATTATTCGGAAAAATAAATAATTTAAAAAAAATGAAATAAAATTAAATTATTAAAAATAAAATTAAAAATTATTTTCCTCTTTAAAAACGAGAAACAATTTTACTATTCTTACAATGCTTTCTTTTAAAAAATAATATTTGAAAAATAAAATTTTTAAAATCAATTTAATTTTCTGTCACATAGGCTTCGGACAATAATCATGCGTCATCGAACTAAATGATTTTTCTTTCGAAACCCAATTTTTTTTTTTTTAATGGGAATGAAGAAAATTCCAACGTTTTATTTTTCGCCTAAAAAATAGCTACACACACACAGCGAGAGTTCGAACCTCGAAAAAAAGATTATCGTTTACTTATTCTTTTTTTTTTTTTTTTTAATAAATTTGTCGATTGATAATCCTAATATTGAGATCCACCATCATTATCTACTTGGACGTTGGAACAGTTGGTGGCTGTCCCGCGATCCCCAGTCTTGATTGTGAAGAGGATGCAAGTAGTTCCTTATAATAAGCGTTAAATTCAGGCGAGAGAAATGGTGAATTTGCCGTTGTTACCGCGGCCGTTGTTGTTGTTGTTGTTGTCGTTGACATTGGCGGTGGAAAGAAACCATTATATAATGCCGGATAATAAATTGGATCAATCATAGGAAGAAATTTACCCGGATTATTTGGCAATTGTGCAAGAAATGCAGCATTATTTTGCGTTAAATTAGGAACAAAACCCGTTGGTATATTCGGTACACTATGCCTTCGATCACTATTATTATGATTATGATGATGATTATGATGATGATGATGATGATGTTTTTGATCAATATGTTGATTAAGTGTTCTATCACCTTCACTTATACGACGATGATAGTCAGGTGTTTTTCTTTTGTCAATTTGTTGATTGTTGGAGGAGGATGATGATGATGACGATGACCTTGAGGTGGAAGAATTTAGTTGACTTAAATTTGGAACGTTTGGTATTACTGGATGTAATGATGGTTTTCTTGGTGTATAAGGTGAGACGGGTTCTGTTCTTAATGGATATTTGCCATTCAGTTGTTGTTGTTGTTGTTGTTGTTGTTGTCTCCTTTGAATTGGCATTGAATTGATACAATTTCTCATCGGTGGACTCATTTGAGGGGAATTGGAATGCTTTTTTGGATTTACGAGTGTTATTTCAAGATTGTTGGATGCCATTGTTCGACTATCGAGAAGATTTGGATAATTTGGAAATGGATCCTTTCTTGGTGATTCGTGTTTTGTTTTATTGTGCGCGTTTCTTGTTGTATCGTGATCGATATTTGGCCTTGGTACAACGGGTACGCGAACGATTTCCAAGCTAGGCCTGAAGAAGGTCGATTGTTTTTGAGTGAGATCGAGGACACCGGTTGGTAGGCACTCGTTTCTTGGTGGTTGTGGTGGTTGAACGGCAACGACTGGAGGTAGATATTTTTGGGTAGTGAGAATGTCCTTTGGATTACCGTAGACCGTTTTCTCGTTGTGTGCGAATATTGAACGTGATTGCGTAACCCTGGGCGGTGGTATTCGTCCATTTGAAATGACAGGTGCCACGAATCGGTGATTCGACGATTGCGTGGTCGTTGATTGTGTATTTGAGACGGCAACGTTTGCATTTGCATAAAGTTGCATTAGGGCAGCGTTCGTATTGCCAAGATTGATGACACGACTTATCGGCGAGGTACTATTGTGATTTGTGGATTGTTTCGTTGGTGTATGATGCTTCATATGATTGTGATGATGATGATGATGATTATTGTGATTCTCCTGCGAAGACGGAAGTATGTGACTAATGTCGGGTGTCACGGTGACGGAGATAAGTTTCGGTATCGATGGCGCCGTGACTTGTGATAAGGAAACGAGGGGTTTTTCTTCAGACTTGATTTGATTGATGGGCGGTGAAGGTGTGGAATTTGGTTGAATGACGGTGGGTCGCGAATCGACTGCTGTCACTTCCAAGCCACCTTCGCGTAATATTTCAAGTTTTTGCCTCTTGAAACTGGGAATTATTATTTTATCCCTACTTGAATCGCTTTCATTTTCAAGATCAATTACTTCGGGTGATCGAGGTGGAACAATTATTGGCTTCTCGTGGAAAATAGGTTTCTCATCGAAGAGGGGAATATTTTCCTTGCCCTGAGCCAGCAGGGTGGTTTGTTTTGGATCCAATTTAATTTCCTTGATATCCTTTTCGGGCGGTGGTGTTAATGTGACAACGGTTGATGCATTCGACGTGACAACAGCGCTGCTAATTGGTAGTCCTGGTGGTGAACTTGGTGGCGGCACTTGTTGCGACATTAATGGACTATTGAGCTGCCTCTCTAAAACACTTTGACTGCCACCGGTTGGCGTCGTCGACGGCGTACTATTTGGAGTTGACGACGACGTAGTCGAGGAAGGTGGTGGACTTGGCAGTTGGCTGGCAGACGGTGTATTTGCAATTATTGTATTAAGAGATTTTAGGCGATCAGGCTTCACTCTCACACTTCGTAACGATGAAGTTTTTCCACTTTCCATTCGCGGTTTCTCACCAGGAAGAAGCGCCTAAAAAATTACATTATTTTAGCAATAATTCTAAAAAAATATATTTTTTTATTATTTAATTTTCTTTCTAATTTATAAATGATTACCGATGTCGATAAAATCGACTGTAAAGAAGGTGTGACGGTTGTAGAATTTGGTATTCCACTAGGAGGTGACGGTTCTCGTGAATAAGAATCCTCAGGTTCATCTTTCACTTCGATTGCCTCCTCTGATGAACTACTTGTTTTTGTTCGTCTTCCATGAGCAGGCCTAATTTTTGACTCCTCACCCCTTTGATATCTTTCGTATGGCAACAACAATCTGTTTATGATAAATATATTATTATTAATTAATTTCTATTAACCAATTAATTTGTAATTTTTTTTTTTAATAATACCTTTCGTAATGCCTTCTTGTAATTGTTGCAGCGCTCGTTGACGTAGTGTTACCGCCAATATCATCGTAAATGGACTTCCAAAGACGGCCAGTACTCACAGAGTCATAACCACCCAATGTTTGTACTTTTGTATAAAAAAGGAATAGATCAACTGTAAAATAAAAATTTTAATTAATAAATATTATCAAAAAAAAATTTAATTTCTTTAAAATTCCTAATTAAATATATTAATTGATTGAAATGAAATAATTTTTAGAAGACTAACTTTGCCTATAACCCAATAAAGGCATTTTTCCTACAGGTGTGCCTCGTGAATTCATAAATTTGTCGACGTCCGATAAAAACTTTTTTTCTTCGACACTTATTTTTCGTTCGCTACGACGAACTCCCGAGGAAGATGATCTACTGATCAAGGAGTTTGAGGAAGAAACTTTAGACGTCGATGCAACTACAGACGAAGCAACCGAGGCTTCACTTTCATTGCTTGATTCACCTGGTGAAACACTCCGCTTTTTTCGTTTTCTTCGAGGCCTTCCTTTTAATTTCGGTGCTGAAAACAATTAAACTAATTAATATTGTTTTAAAATATTAAAATAAAATTAATCATTTAATTTTATAAATAAAAAAGAAAAAATTAAATTTTGTCTCTCTTCAGGAAGCTGAAGAGCCTCGTTTAATAATTCAAAGTTACCTAAGTGATTGCAAAGTAGTTCGTGTGTTTCAAGGTCAGGATAATCGAATGTATCTCTGCAAAAAAGGATCCTTGTACCAGGCGGAGCCGTAAAACCGCCCACCGCTGCCGCTACCGATGTCCATAACCAGGATGGTTCCGATCCTTCTAGCCTTCGAAGAAGTGATCGATATCGACAATATCTCGGATATGAGAGAACAATGACTTTTGTTTGTAAACTGGCATCAAATTGTTTTACTATTGGATTTTGATTACTCTCATATTCCTGTTGTTGTTTTTCAACATCCGAGAAATCGATGCCTGGATCCGTCAAAACTTGAGGTTGACCAACATCGTGATTCGATGGAGTGTTTTCGGGTGAACTCAATGGTGTTGGTGGATATGACACTTCCCTACCCCAAGACCATTCTAACGACGGCGCCAACCAAGTCACAAGGTCGTGAACACGAACGACAACCTTCTCCGATATCGTCAGCACTTCATCCTAAAAAAAAGGGAATTTCGTTTATATAACTTTCTCATATCAATAAATCAACTATTTTTTTTACACAATATAATAACTCAATAATTCACTAATTACAATAATAATTTTCACACTGTACATAATTAATACAATTATGTTAATTAGAATTAAAAACGATTAACAGAAATCACTGTAATTAACATTGTACATAAAAGTAACATAACCTCATTTAAATGTTTATTTATAAATGTGATAAGTGTATTTTTAAAGACAATTACTGCCATCTATTATCTATATCAGATATTATTTTTTGAGTAACTATTTTTTATTTTCTATTTTTCTCATTGGAAAACAAAAAAAAAATTATATAAACAAAAAGATAAAAACATTAATAATATCACTAATAATTTATTGAATAATTAATTTTAATTTTTTACTTAAAAATAAAATTAATATTTAATTATTATTTCAAATATTTATAGATTAAATTAGTGAAAATAATTTAAATATGATTGGAAAACTCTCAACCAATAGGAAGCTTTAGAAAGATGCAAGTGATATTTTCGAAAATTAATATTAATTTTTACTGTTATTTATTAATAAAATTGTAGTATAATTACAAATTTCGATATTTTAGACTAAATTTCAAGTATAGGATGTTAGTTAATGAGTTTTTAAGAGTTAATTATAGTGAAAATATGAAAAATAAGCAATTGGCGCCAAAACTCAGGTTCACCTCCCCCACTTTTCACCCTTGCATTCAACAGTAATAGTTAACGGTTATTGTAAAAACGACGTGTGAATAATTGCTCCCTATTTTTGTTCAAATAATTAGTAATTGTAGCGGGAATTCACCATCAGGAATGCTCCACAAGTAATTGTAAGTATCTTTTTTCATAATTAGTCATCTTTTTTGTAAATCTCTAATAATTTATCATTAAATATGTATATTAAATAATCATAGCCTCATTTGTACAAATGTACCATTGTCATTATATTTTATTGAAAAATGTCTTAAATTTGGAAATATTTTAGCTTTTTGATGTTCAGATTTAATACCGGAAGTGAATTTTGATTGATATTATGTCGTAAATGCCAAGTAAATCGCGAGATTAAGTTTTTTTTTGCCAAATTTTAGGTTATTAACATTCCGCCTTTTTCCCCCCTCATTCCCGCGCCAATTTTCAGCACTAAAATTTTTAATGTTTTTCCTATAATTATCAGTAATGACAAAAATATTTTACACTTTTAGTGTCGACATTGAATTCCATGAGTGAATTTACATGTTATATTTATTATAACAGGAAATTTGTTTTTGTCCCTCTCTCTGTACATATATTAAAAAATATTGATTTTCCCCATTTATTACAATTTCATCGTTAATATTCTCGTTGGGAATTATTATTGTAAAAAATCGTGATCAATTTGCAAGTAAAATATGAAAAAAAAAAATTAAATCTGAAAATATTTTTTTTTTTTATATAATTGCGAAAAAATAATTTTTGTCATTATTTTTAGGTTATAAATTTTCGTGATCTTGGTCTTATCGACGAAAAATATGAAGGTAAATTTTTTATAATAATGCTATTGTGTAATTGATAAACTTTTTCAATAATTAATCATAGTTTTTTTAAATCGATTTTATTTTTTCAGAGCCAAACATAACCTGTAAATTAATTTTTTTTTTTAAATGTAAAAAGTGAAAAATATTGATAATTTTTGCCAATCTCATAGATAAGTAACTAAATTGTGTATTTCAGAAAATATTTATCAATCCTTTGGAGAATGGTAATAGACCGAGCTGTCCAAAATTGATAAGAGGAAATCTCAAGCGGAGATGTCTGAACCAAGGATGCCTGCCGGTAGTTTTAGGAGCGATTTAATAAGCGAAAGGAAATTCCCAACGGTGAGTCATATTTGTTTCAATTTTTAGAAATAATTTTTTTTTTATTTCGGAAATTTTTTTTTTTAAATTATATTATATTTTATATTATTTTATATTTTAATTTTTTTTTTCTTCTAACAATGAAATTTGAAACGAAATAAACAATTTTTCTTTAAATAAAATTTTGATAATAAAATTGAAACAAAAGTCAAACAATATCTATAAATTAAAAAAGCCAATAATTTTTTAATTAAAAAGAGAAAAAAAGAAAATTAACAAAAACGTATAAATTGAAAATAAAATTGAAACCATAAATATCTCTCAATACTTTTGATCGTAATCGAAAATATTGATAGAAAATTGTTCGGAATGAAGTTAGAGAGAAATGAAATTTATTGAATTAAGTATAAAATATATTTTTCACTAATGTATTGATATCACTAAATTTTCTGATTATTATTTAATTATGTATATTAAAATAAATGTCATCGTGTCATTTTCATTTTGTCATAAAATTTAATACATATATGTATATATACATTGGTATTGTTATAAGCCAGAGCGCAGGTCAAATCAATTGATTTATTATTAACATGCGCGCGAGCTGAGGATCATGAATTCAATTTCCGCTTGAAATACTCGGATTTACTGGCTCTCTAGGCAATAAATTTTTAAGCTCTTTAAAAAGTATGGTCTCTTTAGCTTTTTATAAAACTAATTCAAGCGTTCCTTTATTTAAAGCTGTGGTTTATCTACTTAATTAACATTCGAAAGTGAATATTTTAAAATAATCTCTCCCATTACTTATAATAACAATAGAATAATTATTTATCTTCTAATAAAATAAAATAAATTTTTTTTTTTCAATTATAAAAAAAATAAAAAGAAATGTATTTTTTTTTAATTAAAAATATTTACCAAATAATTATTTTCAAAAAATAAAATATTTTATTTTTATTATATATCAACAATATTTTTTTTCTGCATTTAAATGCAGAATAAAAGCAAAATTCAGACTTGCTTTCAAACATGCAATTAGGGAAGTGAAATCTGACTCGACCCCTTTGAATGAAGAAGGGAGATATTCGACGAAAAAAGACCAACGAAGCATATTAAGAACATTTTTACAATATTAAAAAATAACATCTTACATTAGTTTTTATTTTTTAATATTTATTTCAAAATTTTTACTTTTTATTTTGTTTCTTTGAAATATTTTCCCCTTTCTTAATTATTAAATATTTTTTAATATTTCTTTTTTTATTTTTTATATTTATATGTATATTTTTATATACTTAAAAAATAATAAACTTTTAGTAGATATTCAAAAAAAAAAAAAATAATTTGTAAACAATTTTCAAAGAAGTAAATTTTTGATAAAACTTGATTCATTAATTATTATTAATTTTCGCCAAGTTTATTATTATCACTTCGCGTTTCGATAGAATTAATTACAAAAGTTTTCAACTGCTTCAATCAAAAAATCGATTTATAACTCATTACTGAATGTGTTACTTTATGATTTCTCGCCTCTTTTTTTTTTTTTGTCTTGCACTTCTCTCCCTTGTATCCTTTCAAACATAAAACCCCTTCCACATTACCCTTCTTCTGTCTGGTTTCACTACCAAGAAGAACTTCAAAGCTGAAATCCTCCCCTCATTAATAATTGTAGACGAAAGGTGCAGAGAAATTAAATGATATTTAAGGAGAAGCTCATAAAATCATAAAGCAGAAAAAAAATATATTCTTGATAACATTTCATTTCTAGAATAAAAATGCATCAAAATAACATAAAACAGATTTATTTTATTAAAAAAATATTTTATAATTAAATTATAATTTAAAATAAATATAATTAATTTAATTATAATTTTTAAAATTAAAAAAAATTATTTTATATAATTAAGTTAAAATAAATAATAATGAGAGATTATTTTAAAGTGACTTCGAATCAATATTTTTTTTTTCTATAAATATTTTATAAATTAATATTTCATTTATAATTATTAAAATCTGTCGTGACATTTTATTAATCGATTTTCTGTTAAAAATATAATAACAGAGAAAATTGAGTGTCTGATTTTAATTAAAAATTTTTTATTTTCAAAATTCAATTTTAAAAAAACATTTACAAAACAAAATTTGAGTTGTAATTTTTATATTTTACATATAAATAAAATTTGCATGGTTGAACACTTTTTACAACTAATTTGGTTGGAACTTATAATGAATTTCCTTGGGAATATTACAAATTCAGTTAACCTACTTCCCAGAAAGTCTGACGCACCACGTTAAATCAACCTTTTTAGAATTTTAATAAAAGACTTAAAAATGATTTATAATATAAAAAATAAATTCAAATTTCACTCTCGTTAAATTGGTTACAAATTTTTTTTTTCATCTATATTTAATTAAAAGTAAATAATAAATATTATATCCAACATAATATTTTAATATTAATTAACAGTAATATTTAATTTAATTTCAATTAATATAAATTAAAAATAAATTATAAAAATAAAAGAATATTATTGACAAATAATAACGTAATTATTAAAAAATAATAAAAAAATAATATTTGTATAAAGTACAAATTTGTTTTACTTTGAAAAAAAAATAGGAATGAAAAAGTAAGTGAATATCGAACGAATTTTATACATATATATATATAAATAAATGGACACAGACACGCTATCAATTTGTAGTTTTCACTGTTTTCGGAGCATCGCAACGTGATCGTTTTACACACAAACAAATAAAGTCTTATACACATTTGTGTAAATTCGTTTGTTCGTGTTAGTAAATCAAAATGAAAATGTGTTCTGTCGTTGCTATGGCAATTTACTCTTGTCCTCAACACATCGATAACCTATCAATTCACTATCACATGTAAGCAAGCCAAATATTAAGGGTCCGATCACAGCAATGTTTCGAAATGGTCAATGATGAATAGAATGTGTCTGTGTGTGTATATATACATTGATGCGGTTAATTCCCTTAAAATCATTGCAATTTTTTCTTCATAAAAAAAAATTAAACAAAATCAAAAAAATTACATATAAAATAATCGTTACACAGAAAATTGTAAATCAATACATTTATTTTTTTTTTACAAAAATTTATTTAATAGAAAAAATATTCGCGAATTTAAAAAAAAATGAGATTAAAAATATAGAGAAATTGAAACAATCAATATACATTGATTTCACAGAAAATTAAAAGGCATTAAAATAAGCTGCAACGCTTATTATTTTAATACCTTTTAATTTTCTGTGTTATTTAACAAAAATTTATTTTATAGAAAAAATATTCGCGAATTTAAAAAAAAAATGAAATTAAAAATATAGAAAAATTGAAACTAATATTTTTAATAAAAATATTATTAATCTTTATTTCATTAATTTTAATACAAGTTTGAAAAAACAAAAAAAAAAAAATAATAATTACGGTAGAGTGAATATTTATAATAAAACATGCGATAATGGAAAAGCATTAATTTCGTATATTATTCAGGGGAAATTTAATTACAGAAACCGTCAGCATGCGAAAAGCTCTGGATTTTATAAAGCCGCGAATTTTATTCTATGAATGTGCATGTATATGAATAAATGGAACGAAAGTTCAAAGTAAAATGCCAGATTAATACAAAACGATAACATTTTGAATTCTCTCAATGATTTTTTTTTTCTATGAATTATAGGTATGAATAATATAATTTAATATAATAAAATATAAAATAATATAAAATAATATAAAATAATATAAAATAGTATAAAATAATATAAAATAGTATAAAATAATATAAAATAGTATAATTAATATAAAATAGTATAAAATAATATAAAACAGTATAATTTCGAATATAATTAGTAAAAAAAATAAAAGCGGATTTCACTGTAGAATATAAAAATGTAGAAATGAAAATATAATAACAATTAAAAAAGTTAAAGGCCACATAAACGAGATACTGCAGTTGACATATTCGCCAAGCGTGCCTATAATATACATTCATACACAGAGTAGAATACATAGAAAGTGTGTTATACCAGAGGTGCTCATTAATATTGATTATAATCCCTCCTGAATAGATTTACCACCAAATTTTAAATCAAAAATATTTTTTTTTTAATTAATACAATTTTTTCTTTTACAAATAATATTTCATATTAAAATTTTCCGTCGGATTTGCAAAATTTAATTTATCGCATTCAGAGAAGTTAATGAATTTTCAAACTCTATATAATTATACAAACATTTACCATGCGCATCTCATCAACGTTTATATATATATATATAATTAATTCGAAAATTACGTTTCAAAACTTGACTTTGTAAATGAAAATGGAAAAAATAATAATTTAAATTATTTAAATTATTAAATAATGAAAAGTTTTTATATATTCTCTGGAAATAGTGTAAAGTTTGCTGATTTTGAGAGACCCTGAACGACATAAATCATTGTTAGATTAAACCCTGGAGCATGCAGCAGTGGATGGGGCAATAGTATATGCTTTCAGAAACTATAGGGTGAACTAAAAGCAACGACCCATAATAATTTCAGTGGCTATAGAATTGTCTATATAAAATATATGTGTTGTGGTCATTGGAAGATTTGAAAATAATGAGAACAACACGTTATTTCATATATACATATATATATATATATATATTTTCTACATATTAAATCAACACGAATAGCAATAAATATTTGTTTGGAAATATATCGATTGCCATTTGAAACTACCACCGGCTAGAGAGCAATTAACATAACATGTAAATTTGAATTGCAACTTCCATACCTCGGCAAACATATTACCGATTAAAATTAAACCTCATAAAAAAATAGTATATATATATATAGTTTTTAAACTCTTTTTTTTCCAACCGATTTTTTTTTATATAAAAAATAAATTACATTTATTTAAAAATAAAAATATAAAAATAAAATTTACATTTAATTAAACCGCGATTTTTTTTTTTCACGGAAATAGAAAACATGAAAAATAAATGATAGGTATTTATTTTCAATACATATATATACATTGAATCGTATTAAGTTTTAAACGAGATTGAGAATGTGCATGGTATAGCAATCTGTTCCGGAATCGTTCACAACTCCGATTGGCAAATTCACATCAACTACTCAGTTCCGAAGTTTCGAGCGATAGCGACCAAAAGCATTCATCAAATGACTGAATTAATAATAAGCATCCAATTAACAAACTTTGCATTCAAAGCAAATTTCCGTGAGAAACTTTATTTTATCATTCGCGTCTATATGAAAAAAAAAAAAAAAATTAAAAAAATTATACGCTCCGAATATTATTTCAAAATTTGAGAAAAATAAATTACAGGCAAAAATTATGAAAAATAAAATTTTCTAAATGTGTAATTATATATAATATTATAATAATATATATATAATCATAATTCAGTATAAAATTTTATATACATATTTTTTTGTAAAATTATAAAAAAAAATAATTTTATCTGAACGTTTTTAGATTCACAAATCTTGAGATGCATTTTTCTTTTTTTTGTCGAACATCTTTTCTTAAAAATGTATACAGAATATATATTTGATTTTATAAAATAATATGTATAACTTTTGAAAACTTCTCTGTCAGAATTTCCGACAGAAATCTCTTGAATAAACTGAGCCTCCACCCTGGCCTCAGATTCAAGTCTACTTGTCTACTTGAGATGCATGCAGCAAAATAGAACGTGTATATATGTATATATATATAAAAGTCTACTATACACATTTTACTCTTGCGTGTGTGATCATAACGAGTACACTTTCAGATATCAGCTATCTTAAGAGTTTGATTCAACTTCCTTCAATTATATTTATCCAAGAAATTAGTTTCTATCAATTTTTCATTTTTAATTAACATTCTTTTTTAATTATTCAATTTAATTATTATACAATAGTAATTATATATATTTATAGTTAAAAGTTTTTTTTATTTCTATTTATGATAAATTATTAATTTATTTTCTAAAAGGACAAAAAATTATCAGCGTTACAAAGTTCAAAATTATATTTTTTTTTTAATAAAGAGAATAATACATTGTAGTTAAAAATAATTATATATTGAGAATAATCTCGCGGGGGTTATTTTTTTTTTCTTCTTACGATCATTAAAAGACGAGAAGTCAATGATTATATTTCTTAATAGTTTTCTTATTTTTAGACTTGAATCGCGAAAAAAAAAAGGTCTCCGGTGCTTCATCGATCGTTAGAGCGTATATAGAGAGAGAGAGAGAAAGAGAGAGAAAGAAGGGTGGGTGAGAAACAGCAAGAGGAAAGTAATTAATTATTTGCGTCATATACTTCGCTTCCTCTAAAATATTTAAGCGGAATCTTGGTTTTACATGTATTAAACTATTACACAATTATAATGAGGTTTTTATTACCAAGAAGTTTATTTATCAATTACGTATTCATTGATGCAATTCTCGGGTGGAAATAAATTTTGTTTTTTTTTCATAGGAACAATGTAATATCGGTATTGCTACTACTTTTAAAATTTTGAAATTTTCAAAAAATACCTAAAACGTTTTTTTTTTGCGCTTATACCTGTAGGCTATTTCTGCATGATTGACATTGGAAAAATCAAAAACGCCTTAGATCTCTTTTATTGGCTATCAAAATCTTATAGTAATAGAAAACGGAAATCACAATGTGAAAGAAATGAAAAATGGAAAATGGGACATAAAGCGCTGGAAAACCACTTCTCGACATTTATATACGAGCTTTATACTGTAGGGGGAATACTCTTGTATGATTGTGAGTATACATACTCCATTTACACATGAATCCAACATACACAGTTACAGTAGCTTCCATTCTCTTTATTATTCTGACAAGAACTTTGAAAACATGTACCAAAGCCTAGGTCGTCTTTGCTCTTTATTTTCCTTTTCTCTTGCTTTCTCTCCTTTTCATTCTTTTTTTTTCTATATATTTTAATAGCAGATCATTTTGATTCGAAAGACAGTTTCAAATAGTTTGCGAAATTGAAAAAAAAAGTTATTTTTTACGTTGAAGAAAATATAAAGAATTGGTTTCGAAAAACTAAATTTTACTGTATAAATAAAAATTATAAAAGTCTCAAAGCCAATAAAATTTATTTCTTAATGGACTTCCACCTGAAATTGAATCAGCGGTCACATGAGAAAATCGCTTCTGTCAGAGGTCAGAGTGGAGGTTAACGTTCCCATAACATCGTCAAGTTGCTTTCGATAAACACTTTGAACACAGGCATCAATTATTTTATAATACTTGCGCGGCATGAAAATATTTGAATTTTTTTTTTTTTTTATTACAAAATTATTCTTACAATCAAAAGTATAAACAAATTACACTCTCTGATCAGAATTCCGCAATTTGTAATATTATAGCTGCCGTACAGTATATATATGTACATAAGAGACGAGAATTTCAACAACTCTCTACCATTTCCGCATTTATATTTCACATTAAGTCTAGTCACGAATATATCTATTTAATAATAACAGGTCCGTAGTAATTAACGCCATATAATTAATGTTTTCACTTTATATATATTAAACTTAATTAGTCTATTATTGATTAATTATTTAATTTATGTATTTTCTCATTTAAATCTGAATTAGTGAAAAATTCCCAATTTTCACAATAATTTTTATAACAAAATTTGGATAAAAAGAAACTATTTTCTAATGAATTTTTATATTTATTCTGTTCATTATAGATTCAAAGGAGTGTCAATTATCGAAAGTGAGCCCCCCCCCCAAAAAAATTAGCCGCGTAGAAGATGCCGAATTTTCCAAAACGATCCAAGGATGTCATGGAAAATAAAAAAAAAAAATCGAAAAATAGTGTTGTGAATAGTGATAGTGTTGTGAAAAGTGAAAATTCTAAAAAAAATTGATATGTCATGTTAGGTGGACCCAGACTGATGTATAACCCAGCTGATGGGTATATGGCATAGTTTTAAATAGTGATAGTGTTGTGAATAATTATTAGCGATCTAGCCCAGCTGATTTGGCTTCTATATCGACATCAACCGGTGAGTGAATTAAAATTTCAACTGCGACGTAACAATTTCAGAAAAACTGAAAAAGACAAATTTTTTCAGGTTTTTTAAAAACCTAAAAAAGACAACGATGATGAATATATGGAAAAAATATGAAATTCATTTTTAGAGCTTTAATTATATATTTGATAACAAAGTTTTTATTAACATATTTCAAAATTAAATTCTATTTAAACCATTTCACATTACAAACAAAATCTATTTCAGTAATTAATTTCACAAAATAAAAGCATGATGAATAATATGAAATAGTTTATGAATAAATTACCAAATATTAAATCTAGTCGGTTTATTGCAATTTCATTTGTGATATTAAATATTCATAAACAAAATATAATTTAAAAATTATTAAATTAAAACTGCAATTTAAAAAATGATTATTAATTTAAGTATTTAACTTACATAATTGTTATATAATTATTATTATGCAGAATACAACATTGTTTAAACTATAATTCAAATTAAAAAATTAAATTCTAATTAAAATTTAAATTAAGATAATTTTTTTATAAATCGGGAATCAAGTGTGTTAATAATTATTAATGTAGTATCAATAGAGGAGGAAATTTAAAAAAAAAATATATATTGAATATGCTTGATGACTTTAATTAACTCATAAGGTTGAAATACTTTAATCACGTTACTGAACAAAGGGATGTCAAGTAAAGAAAATAACGTCAACCACCTTCCCAAACACCCTTTCCTATTCTCATTCACCTCCGCCGACCACCCCAACCTTCTTCGTCCTGAAATCCTGTCTACCAACCCACTCCGAATAACCCCTCTCTTTCTCTCTCTCTCTCTCACATCAATTTGGCACAAAGAGAAATAAAGGGCCGCAATATTCGTTAAACTTTACTTGACAAAACGAAATTCCACAATATTCAAATAATTACAAAAAAAAATATATATTTAAAAAAAAATTGTAGTAGAAAAAATTAAAAACATTAATTTAAAATAAATATTAAACAATTTTTATTTTCTAAAAGTTTTCTATACATGCTACATTAAAAGACATTTATTAACCTCTCACTTGAAATGTAGTGTATATAATATATACCCATATAACTTTCTCTTGTATTTCATAAGCAATTTATTGATTTTTATTTTAAATTACATTTTTTTTTATTTAGAATATGAAAAACATGACATTAATTGTGAAAAAAAGAGAATTATTAATAAACAATACAAAAGTATTTTATAAATTCATTGAATAGAAAAGGGGATTTCACTTATCATTATTAAAAGCGGTAATTACGCGCTGATAAAGAGTTAATAATATTAAAGTTAAATAAAATCTCCTCGCGCAATTTCTATATGAAGCTATATTACATTTATTTTTTTTTTTGAAAAAGTAAAAAAAAAGAAGCTCTTAAATTCAATTCCCTCGTATTGTCGAAGATGTGAAAAAGCATTTCAAGAATTTCGAGATCAAAGTTGACATTTCTCGTATTCCGATTCAATGAGAATCGATGAAATAATGGAGGAAACTCACAGCTTTCATATATATATATATATACAATATATACAATATATATATATATATATACAATTGTATATATATATATATATGGGAGAACCGTCTGCATGTTTGTATCAAACTATGTACAGATTTCCTGTAGAATCAAATGTGTGTGTATATATATGTTTCTAACACGTCCCTGCCACAAGAGCAATGCCATTACAAATACATACATACAACCAGTCACGAGATTTCAGGGCCGCAGACAGTTCGAATGTATTTCAATAATCTAATCCCTCCAGTAATATGTCGTATTTCCTTTATTGAGAAAGACGTATTTATCATTTCTCTTATCACGTCAAAAATCAATTTCACTCAAAAATGAATTTACATAATTGCAAAAAAAAAAAATTAAAATTCTATTATTACATAATGAATTTTATTCTTATTTTTCCTGGAATCAATTACAATATATATTTTATAAAAAAAAGAATTTTTAATATTTTTATCTTATGGGAAATGGCAAATTAAACTCATGGTTGATTTTACGTGGACATTGTATTTGAAGGATAAACAATTTTTTTTTATTGACATACACTTTTCTTATGTAAATTTATATAAGAAAATGGAATTTTTAAAAAAATATTTTGCCTTTGGAATATTGAAATTTATCCGGAAATGATATAATAATTTATAATAGAAATTATAATTTCTTTAAAAAAATGTTATTTTTTATATTAATTTTGATTTATAATATTTGATATTTAAATAATCTTTTTTTTTTTAAAGACATTACTTTTTAATCGTAAATTTCTCATTTTACTTTAATTATATTTTAATTTTTCTTTCAATATATACTGATGACACAAGTGGACGTGTGGCATTCAATGGAAATTTCGTAATCAACGTCGTATATACTTTGTAATTTATGCGAGGCTGAGTTCGTAACATTATTAAAACTTTGATCATTTCTATTTTTGTGAGAAGCCTGTGCCATATTTCAAATATATAGGAAAATGTGTGTGTGTGTGTTTTGCTTAAATTAAATACATTAATTAGATTTGCCTGAAGAAAAAAAAAGAAATCATCAAATTAAAAATAAATACATTTCAAAATAAAATAAATGATTACTTTTCTTTTTTTTGCTTCAAGTAATTTAAAAACAGTAATATTTATAATCCATGAAAATTATAATTATTATTATTTAATTAAAAAATTCAATTAATTATTAATATACTTTTTTTTTTATTTATTAGTGAAAAAATTAATTTTGAAATTTTTGTCATTTCCCGAAAGCTTAAAAAATTGTTAAAATTGAAAATTCTTTTATCTGACGTTTCATATATGAGATATAAATTGACCCATCTTGTCAGAACAAATTGTATTTATACATCGGAGAAGTTATATATAGGACAACAATGATAATATTTTATCATTTAAACAGACAGTAGTGTTCAACTGTTAATAATTCTATATAGCTTACACACACATATATACATTGTATTCACAATATTATAAATACAATACACGTAAAATAAAGTTCCTGTTAAATTTCAGTATAATGACACATGGTCTGTAAATTAATTTAACGGATTTCTTTTTCTAAAAAAAAAAAATAATAAAAAATGACACAAAAGAATAATATTTTTTTGAAAATTGATAAAACTTGAGAAATTCTGATAAAAATGAAATTCAAAAAAAAAATGACAAGTTGGGAAAGATAAATTAAATGCTCTATTAGAGTGTTTTATGATGTCACGTCCTGTCTAATGCTCGACTATAAATATTACAAATCCAGTGTATGTGTGTGTGTATATTGTCGTCGTTGTTCAGCACGATGAAAGAAGTTTTACTCCTTCGATATTATATATATATATATATATATATATATATATCCAGACAACCATTTTTGCCAGATTCTTTTTATCTCCCTAATATACTCTCTTGTGTTACACGAAGTAATAGCCGCGTCAATAACAAAAGAAATTCAACAAAAAATAAACCTTGAAATAAAAAAATTAATAACAAAATAATATAATAATACTAAATTTTAATATAATAAAAAATAATAAAGAAATAATTAAATAATTAAATAATATTAAAAAATAATAAAAATAATAAAAATAATAATAGAAATAAAAATGAAAATAAAATTAGAAATAATATAAAAATAAATAATAACAAAATGATAAAATTAGATAAAAGGAGGTTCCATTTAAACTTTCAAATATGTGTCAGAGGGAAATGGATCTATTTTAGTATATCATTAACGACACTGTCAAAATTTATCACTTCTGCGCAACGCAATCAAAGATGCGCAGAATACCTGTAAGCTTGTTTTTAGTGTTGCGACACCTGCTCTGCTTTCATCAAGAAGCACTGCATGTGCTTTAATGACTTACGTTTACGCGCGTTTTCCATCTCTCAGACACCTTTTCCTTTTCTCCCCCTTTTTTTTCAATTAAATTTCAACAGCTCAAACTATAATATCGTATAAAATAGCGAGAAAAAAAAATAAAAGGAAACGGAAACTAATAATTTATTTAAATTACGTTAACAAACATTTTTAATAATTATATATTATTATTATATATAATATATATATATATATATATATATATATATATATATATTATATATAATAAACTGTAATTTGAAAATAATTATAAAATTTATTTTTAACATTTTAATTACATCACGAAAAAGATATGAGATTAGATATTCGTCGCAGACTTTATATATATATATATATATATATGTATATATATATACAATATATATAGTTTCGGAGCCTCGTAAAGCTGGCTTGGCTGTTTAACAGAAAGGAGAAACCCTCAGAAAACTTTCTGCATTGTTGTAAATCAAGTACAGAGTGGAAGCTCGAGACTTGGATAATTAGAGCATTCAAAGGTCTATGCAGTAAAGTGTTTTACCTCCTTTATACAATATTGAGTTTATGCTTTTCAAATTAAAAAAAGATTAGAAAATTATTTTTTTTATATATATATAAAGAAATTTCATTTATATTAATTATGAGCAAAAAATATTTTATCATTTTTTATTTATTAGTATATTTTGTAATAAATTAATAAAATATAATATATATTTTGTAAAAAATTAATAAAATATAATATATATTTTTTAATAATGTTTGTATGCAACGTAAAACATATGATCATCAATAATTTTCTCAAAAGAAAAAAGAGAAAAAAAAAAAAAAAAAACCCTGAAAGTACACGTCTGTATTGCAGAAATTTTATTCCATAATAAATTCGTGAGCTTTTCCAGGGTTGTAAAATCTTGAAAGAAATTTCCGTGAAGGGTAATACGATTTTCCCCTCATCCGCTTCAGCAGTGTTTCGCAGTCGCTTTTTTTACGAGCAAGAGGAAAAAAAAAAGGATGTTAAATTAAATTTTACTTGTTCAGCAATACTTGTTTTCTAAATAATTTTAAAAAAAAAATATTACCCCCCTTTTTTTTTAGAAAAAAATATTACTAATATTACTAATATTTCCCTTTAAATCGGAATCAATAACAAATAATTTTTTTAATTATTATTATTATTAATATTTAAATTTTCCAAAGGAAAATTAAAAAATTAAAAAATATTAAAATTATATTAGGTTTTGAAATTTTTTTTTTGAAAAAGAATTTAAAGTCAAATTATACCGTCTGATAAGAAATAAATAATGATAATGTATATAATTTATGGGAGAGTCGATTAATT